GTGTGTGTGTGTGTGTGTGTGTGTGTGTGTGTGTGTGTGTGTGTGTGCGCTAACCTTGACATTATTCTTGGTGTCCAACCCTTGTATAAAAATGGAGAGACTGTGAAAGAAACGATCCGCTGCAGTTCCCTGGAGGGTGAGAGTGGGAGAAAGTCTTCTTTAGCACACGGGTGAACTCACACTGTTCAAACCAGAAATATAAGTCTAGCCCCACTACAGTAGTAGTAGTTAGTATAAAAATGTCCCACATTATTGTTCGCTGGTGCCGATTAGTTTAGTGCAGTGTGTAAAATAGTAACGTAATGAAATGTCTTACTCTCTCCAGATGGAAACGCCTCCTCAGTTGAGCGATCGCCTCATCAACGTCGTCTGTGTGGGACATGAGCTGAGAACTCCTGGCGCCCAGTGAGAATCCACCGTATCTGTGTAGATCACAATTATTTTAATACCGGCGAAGGACACAGCAGAGAGGCACTCGGTTCAATGTTATCGACCGATTAGCTCAAGACGGATCGTGTCTGATAGTGTACCTGAACTCGTTGACCCAAAGTTTGTTCTTCAGGCTGAAAGAGAAGGAAAAAGAAAATAAATGAAACGTAATACAATGAATCAAGAATTAGAACTAATTCAAGTGCGCAAAAACAAATGGAAGTTGAGTGTTACCTCTTGCCAATGATCTGAGCGTAGGTTTTAACCAGATAGTCAGAGATGTTTCGGCCAGTCAAATTCTGAAGAGTGTCTGTCTCGCTGATTTTCATCTGTATACACAAAAAGAAAAAGAAAAAAATGAACATTTGTTTTTTTTGTGTGTGTATTTAGGCTTTGCCTTTGTAATTTTAGATGGGTAAACACTTCAGTTTTGACTTTTTTAAATTGTTTGGTGTCGCCAACCTGAGGTGGTGGAAGTCCCCCAGCGCCACTAGGACACTCGGGAAGCATCCTCTTGCGTCCTCCACAGCTGCACTCACACATGGGAGAGGGGTTCTCCATGGACCAGTTGCCGTTGTCGAACATGTCCCTCACACTTTGAGAGACTTGCGTGACCGACCACTCATCCTCTGCTGCTGTGCAGGGAGTGTCCCTGGAGCACAGAGATAGAAGTCAGATCTCCATTTTAATGCGTATGTATAAACTACCACATTTGTGTTTTTGCTAAAACTGCGATCAGATCAACTGTAGATGTTAAGTGTTTTTATTTTCCTTAATCAACGTTTTCTTTTGGTTTTAAAACTCACAGTATGGGTTGTCCTTCCATGCAGCGTGTTCCAAATCCTGGGTTTTCTGTCAGAGCTCCCAGTAGTTTGTTGACATGAGGGTCCTCAGGTAAGTCATTACTACAAACACACAGACAACACGTTGCCTTTAATATCACAAATCATCACACACAAATGATGTTTAACAATCAGCTGTCCAGCCATTGTGTTAAGACTGAAGACAGGTGCAATATATTAATAATAGATTGACATTTAGAATAGTTTTATTATTAATTTCTGACACCATAACTCTCTACTTTCACTGAGCTTAAAACACATCAGGTAGGTCACATGCCTAACCCTTAGTGCAGTTAGGCAACCTTTTACAATTTTAATGAGTTGTGCACTTTGTAGATGGAAATAACACGTTTCTTTGGACTAAAAAAAGAGAATGCTCTGATTCAGGTGAGTTGAAGATTAAAAAGTCACTAAATGTAAATAATGAGCAGAAACCTTTTTTTATCTGGAGACACATTGATAAAAAGGAGGACAATGTCATTTTTCCAGAGATACAGAATGGTATCTCACCTGATGAAGGCGAACTGTTCCCCATACATGCTGTGATCCAGAGTCAGACTTGGGTACTTTCCAAACGGAGGGACGATCAGGCTGAACACCAGGGCAATGCACACAAACACCGCCGGAAGAACAATCTGAAAAATCACATTATGACCATTCATTACAACTGACACACCTCAGAAGTACTGCTTCCCTCTTACATTGACAACCTGTTTATTGACAGTGTGTGCAATGAAATAGCATCAGTATACCTGAGCAAAGAAGCCTTTCCTGGAGCGCCGAGCATAGAGGAATCGTTTCCAGAGTAGTGCAACAAACTGCTGTCTCTTCAGACTCCAGCCTTTGACCTGGTACGAGCCTTTGCCATCTGTTCCACTGAGCCAGTCGGTCTCTCGGGATTCTGGATACAGACGACACAATAGACATGAGCAAACTCATCTTGTCTGTGTCCCGATTCTGTAATATTGCTAATAGGTTGTCTGCAATTGCAATTTCACTGGCACAAAGCAACTGATTTGTATGCTTTGCAACATAAGTCTAGCTTTCTTCAAAGAGAAACTGCACTTTTTCTCCACTCAAATCTGGGATGTGAATGGAGAAATGTCTTTACATATTTTTGGTGAAATACACCTTCAGGTGCAAACAAAGGGCAAAAGCGATGATAGCAACAATACGGTTGCTATCATTGCACTGCATGCTGGGTAGTGCAGTTCTACCTTCAGAGTCGTTGAAGTCAAAGTCGTCCTCAGTGAAGGGCTTCAGGCAGCTCTGGTGGTCTCCGAATGCATGATGGCGACGAGTCCTGGTCGGCACGACTCCATCTGCAGCCACACGAGGGTCAACATGTTACTATTGAGGTTCAAGTCTTCTGTTTTGTATGAATATAACCCCCACAATATTCCAGTAACCTAAAAGCAAGTACCGATGCTGCTAATAGACGTTTAAAACAGGGGCGTAACAATGCGTTTTTTAATACAGATGTGAAGTGTTTAAGTGCTGTGAATCTTTAAAATGCATCATAAATCTCACCTGAGAGCTCAACAGTGTCTACTCCACTGTCCTCAGCCACTTTCAAGAAAATCTGCAGAGTTGGAAGACGCATGCTTTAAACATTGGCAGAAGCATATAAACCATCTGATTTTTGTATGTTTCATTCTACTTTCGACAGTGTTTAATATGAAAGGCCCACTTAGACCAGCTGCTCCTTACCTCCTCCAGAGTGGTATCAGATATTCCATAGCTGGATATTCCCAGGTCGGTAAGTCGGTCATCCAGCTCGTGGAAGAGCTCGACAAAGGCTCCGTCTTTAGCTGACTGGTAGGGCAAGACATAGGTGATTTCATGGCCAACGTCCTCAACCAGGCGAGCCTCGTGGACATGCTTGAATATCAGGTTTGAGATGAGGGACACATCTGTAGTGAAGAAAGGATGAGAGATTGGTGAGAGGGAATGATAAAACATCAACATCTTATATGCCTTTCTAAGTTCATTGTACAGGAATAAACATGTGTGCCTTTAAAGTAGCCAACTGAATGTCTGTTCTCACCAATAGTCGTGGTTTCACTCTCTGGTTCGCTGCCCAGACCAGCATCTGAACTGCTCTGTGATACGCTGTCCTCCTGAACCAAAGACAAAGATGGTAAACAGTTACCTTTTTAAGTTAACAACACTATAAAGGGAGACAACTTATCTTGTATCTTTTAAAGACCCGTGTTCTCTGTAACGTCTCTCTAACCTTCTCGGCCTTCTTGATGTAGGACACGGTGCTGGCAGAATTCCTGCAGGACTGAAGTGTCAAGTCATAGTCTCTCTTGACCAGGGTCAGGTAGTAGCCCGTGCCCAGCTGGGTCTTCAGGAAGAGCGAGGAGCCCACGCAGCACAGCTTTCCGTGGGAAATGATGGCGATGCGGTCACCCAGGATGTCGGCCTCGTCCATGTGATGAGTGGACAGGATGATGGTGCGGCCTGATGAGGAACAGAGGGACACATTCAAATCACAAACTCCAGAATTACACAGTTATTGAAAGTAATTTGTAACTGTTACCGACTATCAGTTGTACTTACCTTGTCTGTATTTAAGCAGCAGGTCCCAGATGCCCCTGCGTGCGTAGGGATCGACCCCAGCAGTAGGTTCATCCAGGATCACAACTTTTGAGCCCCCAACAAAAGCCAGGGCCACTGACAGTTTCCTCTGCATCCCTCCTACAAACACAACAGGGAGTTAAGACCATTTTTCAACATGAAAATCTCCCTGTATAACAGGACTTGTGAAACAACTAAAAGGTAAAGAAATTTAAAACAATGAAACTGACCGGAGAGGGTGCTGGTGCGGGCATGTCGTTTGTCAGGCAGTCCGACATCGTTCACAATTTGTTCCATCTCAGCCTTCACCTTCTCCTCCGACAGCCCCTTCAGACGGGCGTAGAACCAGATGTGTTCCTCCACAGTCAGCCTGGATTACAGCAAAGCAACCAATCAAACAACAATGCTACAAGCGTGCAAAGAATTCAGTCTTCGTTGCTGCTGTATACATACATGCTAAAAAGTACGTTGTGCTGGGGGCAGACGCCCAGATTCTGCCGGATGGTGCTGAGTTCACTGCGGATGTCCTTGCCGTGGATGTAGGCTGTGCCAGATGTGGGTGGGAACAACCCTGTCAGGATTGACCTATGAGAGAGCAGGGAGGCACACAACAATCACCATTAACAGCTGAACCAACCGAGTAGATTTTAAAGTCTTTCAACTAGTTTCTAGATGAACTGCAGACAATGCGTGTATAATCTTACATGGTTGTTGTCTTGCCAGCCCCATTGTGGCCGAGGAAGGAGGTTATCTGTCCCTTATAGAACCTCAGGGACAGTCCGTCTACAGCCAGCTTTTTTCCATGGCTGTAGACCTTCACCAGATTCTCGATGTAAACACCTGGCTCGATGTGGCTCGGCTCCTCCTCAATACAAACAGCTGTGGGGAAAAAAAAAAGGATTTAATAAAAAGGACAAAAGCTGAGGTTTCACTGGACACATAAAGGGAAGGATCATCCATCTGCATTTGAAACTTGAGACAATTTTCGCTGATGGTTTTACATCTGAAAATTCCTTCCAAAACAGAAAGAGAAATAAAGAGCAATGAGTTTTTTTTGTACCGTCAGCGTTGCCCTTCTTCGACAGAGGGGTGGAGATGTTTGTGTTTTCTTTCTCTCCGCACCAGTACGACTTAGTGAAAGGGAAGTACCAAGGCCTGGGGATCCCATACTGACCTGGAATAGTGACATTTTTCAGTACTGTCCATCAAAACAACCCTGACTATTTAACTGCACATCATCGATTAAGCACTTTACGGAAAAAATACCACAACCGTAAACCACATCCACGACTCACCAGGGAACACAGCTTCGATGTACCAGGTCATCATTCCGTAGAGCACAGCGTCAAACAGCATGAGGGAGATAGAGGTGGTCAGGTTGTAGCTGTCCTCCTCCAAAGGGCTGGCCAGCAGGTTCGACCACTGGATACCCACCCCTTGCTCCTCAAACAGGGCAAAGTACTCACAGCCAAAACCAAACGCCACAGGAGACAGCAGACTCTGTGAGAAGAACAAAGAAGCCGGAGTTTAGCGGAGACAGAAAAACAACTGCTCAACACATGCTGTATGTATTCAAACGAGCATTATTCAATTTCTTCCACACACACACACACCACGGTAAGTTTTCCTCCGAAGCCAATGTAGTCTTGCCAGGCGACACACAGCACGTAGGGCAGGTAGAGCGTGAAGTATATGATGCCACCGCAGGCAGCTGCCAAGTTGGCACGAGAGAACAGAGTGCTAATAAGGAAACACTGCATGATGGTTACAACGCCGAAGGATGCCAGGAAGAGAAACACCACGCCTGGGTCACTGTAAGGCAGCAGGTTTCCCATCTGAAAAGGGTGGCAGGGGGGGGAAGAGAGAGAAAAAGTGATGATCAAGTTAAAATGTGCAAACATCAGCCCGGATCAGTGAGAGTATGTTCACTTGTATTTCTACAATTTGCTGACATTCCTGCAGGATGACAAAGAGTGTTCCCGTGTGTATGTGCGCGTCTGTGGCAACACCAACCTTCAATAACACCACCAACAAGCCGGCGCTGATCAGGAGCGGGATCAAGCTGCTGATGAACCAGCTGAGCCACAGTGTGCCGTTGTTCAGCCCCATGATCCTCATGGTCTCTTTGAGCCGCGCCTCCTTCTCGTACACCACGCCCTTGATGATGATGGCTACCGAGTACATCCACGCCAGGGTCATGAAGAGAGGCATGGACCGACTCATCACTCGCAGGAACCTGGAAAAAAATAAGAAGTAAAAATTGGTTATGCAGGTTTTAAAACTAACTTGACAGTGTACGTTGCGATTATACTCTTGCACATTGGTCACTTACATGTCGTCAACATAGCAGGGGTAGGGCATCTGCTGAATGTAGATGCCCGTCTTCTCCTTGGTGCCAGTGATGGCTCGGATGATTCCGTGCTCGATGACATCCTGCAGGTAAGAAAATCCGCCCCAGATGTACCGAAGGTCCTCGAAGGGGTCTGCCCTGGGACCGGGGTCCCAATAGCTGCAAAGCAAAATAACAATCTGTTAACAAAAGATCTGCAAAGGGTCTGTAATTCAACAATAGCTAGGGCGCAGTTTCTCACCCGTCTTTAATCTTGTTTGTCCTCTCCACGTTATCGATGTCCATGCGGATCTTATAGTTGACGTTGGGAGGCAAGTCGGTGCTGTTGCTATGGGCGATGTCAGGAAACACGATTCCGGCCCAGAACTTCTGGTTGTTCAGGAGACCCAAGGACTTGTTGACCAGCCTCTCCTCATTAGCTACCGGCTCCAGCTTGTCCAGGTTCACACACTGAAAGGGGGAGAGAGGGGTTACGCCATGTTTGACTAGGAATGAAGTCGCATTTGCATGAGCTGTTTTGGGGTCTAACTGGTACATGAAGGTCTTTGTCACACAGTTAAAGAAGGATGGAAAAAGAACACATGTAATGACTTCTTTCCTGAGAGAGAAAGAAGTAAATTAGACTCAAGCTTTATCTCCACGACGGCTGAATGTCTTAATTATGTTTTGTTTAAGTTGCTCTGAATAAGAGAATCTCGAGTAGCAGACCCTTTTGGGTGTCCGACTTTTAATAGGTCGCAACAAAAAAAAAAAAAATCATTAAAATCCTGCTCACACAATCAAATGCTCTCCTCACAAATATTGCTCAGTCGCCGATAACAACAACGAACTCTTAACCCTGTTACACAAACTCACCGAGTAACCACAACAGAGTTGTTTAGCTCTCACATAGCTGACATAAGCTAAATGCAAGTTAAATAATTAGTGTGACACCTAATTGACCTCAAGTTATGGTTTAAAATTCTTTCCACAGACAATTCTTTTTAAAGAATTGTCTGTGTCGTCGGTCTTTGGACTGAAAACCATCATCACTCATTCAGCAAATCTGATCATCATAGATCACATCGTTATATATCAGGAGGAACACCACACGGATGTTAGTCCATTGACCAGTGAACCGTGATGTTTATTTCGGACTCTCAATGAAGAATTTAGATACATAGAAGTCAACAACTCACTCGGGGATAAACATTGATTAACATTTGGCAGGAGTTTAGGGGTAGTTGTTGATCGCTTAAGGCTTGGCTCTGGCATACTGACTCAGCATGACAATGATTCAATTTGGTGAGGGAAGGAAGGGGAAAGAACATTTGATTTCAAGGCTTTTAATAGTTGCGCCGACTTCTAAATGCAGTTCAAAGTGAATAAAGAAAACAGTGGAATAATGGAAGATTTTGTAATGCGACGACCTATTTGGGCAATTAGCATTTAACCTATTTCCCCACTAGGTTTTGACCTAAATAGAAGATATTGGGTAACAGCTAGTTTACAGACACAACTTAAGACCCATACAAGTATGGAAAACAATGACGGCTACGCTGTAATATAGTCTGAACTCGTCACGTGAAAACATCACAACACGCGCTACTATCCGTTTCTTTGAAGTCAAGCGTGGTTTAGTATTTTACGCACTGAATACGTTTCCTGTAAAAACAGACTCGCCATCATCGCACACACACTGCTTTAGCAGAACATGTCAGTGGTGTTGCGTTGGTGTGATGCATCCTGCACTAACACACTAACCTCCATGAAGCGGGAGATGGTCTGGATGGCCAGGTCGGTTTCGTTGAAGACGTCTCTCCAGGTGTAAGCGGATCCTGCAGGTCTTTGGTCCTCTGAGACCTTCATCAGGAAGGCCGACACATCCGACACACGCCACTCAGTCTCACTGAGCTGGGCATTAAAGAACGCAGCACTGGCGTTATTCTGGAGCATCGTCTGCAAAGAGGAAGGTTTGTATTGTTTATTATAGAGAGTCAGTGTACAATTACTTAGAAGTAAGATAAAGAAGAGCTAAAACATTAAAGAGGATACAGATAAACATCTACTGATTCCCTAAACAACAAAGCAGAACAAAATAGAACTCCACTTTAATTGTATAAAACTAATTAATTGTTATTTAGAGGTCTGGGGCTCTTTATATACAGTTCATGGTCTTAGAAAAAATCCTATTTGTGAAGGTATTTTACAGTACCACCTTTCACCACTAGGTGGAAGTGGTACTTATGTAATTTACATTGGACACATGGAGTTGTGGCAAGCTGTGAAAAAAACCAGACACATTTCCAGCCAGTAAGAGCCATGTTATGAACTATATGCCATCTGATACAGACTTTTTAAATGGTTCATTCTATTAGAGTGACTGTAATTTTATACCCGTAGATCTATTTGTAGATCAAGCAGTCCTGCGTACAAGAAATCAACAATTTGTGTGCTTGTCCCTGCATGATGTGACCGACAGATTGTTTAAATGAGGACGACCCGGGTTTGCTTGTTAGTTTCACACTGGTGCCAGAGACATATTTTAATATCACGCTGAAAACTCCCTCCATGCTTTGTTTTAATTAATCGAGTTTCATGGTTGACCTGAACCTGTTGGCCCTTTCAGCTGACTTGTCTGTCTGCACTCTCTTGTTAGTCTCACTTTTACATTTACCCAAAAGACACCAGTTAGTATGAAAAGTAGATTACTCTTGGCCTCGGTCCTCTTTCTCCACACAGTATGTTTATCAACCCGTGAAGAACCCGCAAGAGGATAATATCTGACATAAAGGGTCAGATTTTTGTTAATATAGTCATAACATGGCCTCATACTCCAGCAGCCTGGTTGGTGCACTCTACAGAAGCTTCAGTATGGTCCTTCACATCAGACACATACTTATATTGCACTTAGATACACAGATTACTGTCTTAAACCCCCTCATGTAAACAGGAAGAGGACTGAGAACACAGCTCTGATGTGTGTGTGTGTGTTGGCATTGCGTCCCACTCACCCTGACCATGTCCATTTCCTCGCCATTCTCCAAGAAGTTCCAGACTTTGGGCCTCATCTCCTCCCACATTCCTCCAAGGTCCCTCAGCACGCCGAACTCCTGGAAGGTCTTATTAACCTGCAAAACACACAAACACGCTCAGCCTTAGTCAATGGGGGTTCACTCGTGATTCTGATGGAGGTTCACATGAGATGAGAGGGGCCTCTTCGTACCTCGTGGATGATTCTCTGTGTGGCCGGAGTATCTGGGGTGTACAGGATCTTCCCCATGAGCAGAGGCTTCAGAGCTCTCCAGATCATCCTGGAAATGGGGCTGGACTCCAGGCTCCGCATCATGTTGTTACAATAGGGAGCTGGAAAATAAACACACGCATTTTGAGTCTTAAACATTGTCTGTTCTATGTAAACGGTAAATTGGCAGGGACTCTGGGAAAAATACATCTGATGAACAAATACTTCCGATGAAAGCACAAAATGGGGTCGTTTCTGATCGTTTGGACGCTTACTGGAAGAGTTGTCGTAAGCTGCGAGGGGGTCAGTGTCGCTGGCATTGCCATGGTTTCCGAACAGGGCCTTGTAGTTGTTGTCCTCGTACCAGTTGAGAGACTTGATTTTGAGGCCGCCTCCCTCGGGGTGTCCGCAGACGATACGTGACACGGCCTGGTACATCTGGTTTGGAGAGCCTGTGGCATTTGCAGTTAAATACTGGATCTCCTTACGCATGTCCTTCCAACTCTTCATACCGGCAAGCTGGAGGGAGGGACACAAACAGAAACGTTAGCATGATGAAGGCTGGAAGTTAGTCAGCAAATACAGCATTCCACTTCCAAACTTTGATCGGCTGGGGGATACAAATACATCTTCCAGACCCATGAAGCACATATTGCCTTTAACCATCAGACAATCTAATACCCAAGTCATTAATACTCTCATTCTGGTATTTGTGGCTGTAGGTGTCTTTTACTGTCGCACGTGAAGGTGATTTTAAGTACATGGATTATATGAAAGTTGTACTTTTTAACAAAGGAGAACTTTGCAGATAATGATTTTGGTCTGAGAATTCACTCATGTCTGTGAAATTAGTCCTAGATGGCATCAGAACCAGGCCTCTCTGTACCGTTCAGGAGGTCGCTGAATATACTGCCCGTCATATCTGCACATGTGCACATGCGTCTTCCTTCAGGGTCTCATGTGTCTCATGTACTGTAGCTCAGCGTGAGAAGTGTTAATAATATGGCTATCACCTGTCACAACAGAGGCAGCTTATATGCACCCTGTGTGTGTGTGTGCGTGTGTTGCTGTGGGTTTGAAGTTATTAAAGGTTATCACATGCACACTATGAGTGGTATTCATGGAAGTCAAGTGGAGACTCTTAGTCGTCTGCCTAACTAAGTTAAATTTAACTGGTGTACCCAGTTCCATCTTTCTCCTCGTGTGTGTGTGTGTGTGTGTGTGTGTGTGTGTGTGTGTGTGTGTGTGTGTGTGTGTGTGTATTTCTCTCTAGAGGAGTTGTAATTACACCCTTTCTAATATAAAAACTGACTGATCATGTATGGTCATGAAATGTCTTAAAGTGTATTCGTATTGTCCTGTACTCACAGGTGTTATTAGGTTGTACGTTTCCACTCTGCAGCTGTTTCTTTATCACACATTTCTAAATGCTGGAGGCCTGGGGGCCGTACAGAACTCTTGCCTTGTTATCACAATGCAGCCACTAAGCCACTGTTATACTCCCATATACAGTGGGTACGGAAAGTATTCAGACCCCTTTAAATTTTTCACTCTGTTTCATTGCAGCCATTTGCTAAAATCAAAAAAATTCATTTTATTTCTCATTAATGTACACTCGGCACCCCATCTTGACAGAAAAAAACAGAAATGTAGAAATTTTTGCAAATTTATTAAAAAAGAAAAACTGAAATATCACATGGTCATAAGTATTCAGACCCTTTGCTGTGACACTCATATTTAACTCACATGCTGTCCATTTCTTCTGATCCTCCTTGAGATGGTTCTACTCCTTCATTGGAGTCCAGCTGTGTTTAATTAAACTGATTGGACTTGATTAGGAAAGGCACACACCTGTCTATATAAGACCTTACAGCTCACAGTGCATGTCAGAGCAAATGAGAATCATGAGGTCGAAGGAACTGCCCAAGGAGCTCAGAGACAGAATTGTGGCAAGGCACAGATCTGGCCAAGGTTACAAAAGAATTTCTGCAGCACTCAAGGTTCCTAAGAGCACAGTGGCCTCCATAATCCTTAAATGGAAGAAGTTTGGGACAACCAGAACTCTTCCTAGACCTGGCCGTCCAGCCAAACTGAGCAATCGTGGAAGAAGAGCCTTGGTGAGAGAGGTAAAGAAGAACCCAAAGATCACTGTGGCTGAGCTCCAGAGATGCAGTAGGGAGATGGGAGAAAGTTCCACAAAGTCAACTATCACTGCAGCCCTCCACCAGTCGGGCTTTATGGCAGAGTGGCCCGACGGAAGCCTCTCCTCAGTGCAAGACATATGAAAGCCCGCATAGCCCGCACAGACTATGAGAAATAAGATGCTCTGGTCTGATGAGACCAAGATTGAACTTTTTGGCGTTAATTCTAAGCGGTATGTGTGGAGAAAACCAGGCACTGCTGATCACCTGCCCAATACAATCCCAACAGTGAAACATGGTGGTGGCAGCATCATGCTATGGGGGTGTCTTTCAGCTACAGGGACAGGACGACTGGTTGCAATTGAAGGAAAGATGAATGCGGCCAAGTACAGAGATATCCTGGAAGAAAACCTCTTCCAGAGTGCTCTGGACCTCAGACTGGGCCGAAGGTTCACCTTCCAACAAGACAATGACCCTAAGCACACAGCTAAAATAACAAAGGAGTGGCTTCGGAACAACTCTGTGACCATTCTTGACTGGCCCAGCCAGAGCCCTGACCTAAACCCAATTGAGCATCTCTGGAGAGACCTGAAAATGGCTGTCCACCAACGTTCACCATCCAACCTGATGGAACTGGAGAGGATCTGCAAGGAAGAATGGCAGAGGATCCCCAAATCCAGGTGTGAAAAACTTGTTGCATCATTCCCAAGAAGACTCATGGCTGTACTCGCTCAAAAGGGTGCTTCTACTCAATACTGAGCAAAGGGTCTGAATACTTATGACCATGTGATATTTCAGTTTTTCTTTTTTAATAAATTTGCAAAAGTTTCTACATCTGTTTTTTTCTGTCAAGATGAGGTGCTGAGTGTACATTAATGAGAAATAAAATGAACTTTTTGGATTTTAGCAAATGGCTGCAATGAAACAGTGAAAAATTTAAAGGGGTCTGAATACTTTCCGTACCCACTGTATTTGTTATATTTTCTTGTGGCAAACATTGTGGTTATGTTCCCAATAACTACAAAACATATTCCTCTGGTCTCACGAGAAGCTGTCCTTGATAGACTTTAAACATCAGCGTTACGTCAGGCTGAAGGGAGCAGGGAGTCGACACAGCCACTACAGGTCAAGACAAGTTGCCACAAGTTCCCCCTCGATGTCTCCAAACTGGTCAACTGCACAAGCAGTAATGTTACCAACTCGTGATTGGGAAGGAATGAAAGGAGGGGTTTTGTGTTTTTCCGTGCAAGTAAAACAAAGAAAAGGGCAAAAGAAGAGGGGGCGCTTTTGTTGCCTCAGCGTGAACCGTGGGAGGGCTTACGATTAGCTCAAGCTCTGAAGTGTGAAAGACTGAGGCTGAGAATATCACACCTTTTCCTTAAGGTGAATATGGGAGGAGGTCAGAGATAGATGACAGAAGCTGAGAGACAAAGAAAGAAGGGAGGACCATGGGAGCTGAGAGACAAAGAAAGAAGGGAGGACCATGGGAGACTGCAGCAAAGCAGGAGGTGGAAATGAGTGCAGAAGGCACGAGAACAAAGAGAGGTTACTATCGGTCGTTCTCCTAATAGGCAAACCTCCGCAGGCTCCATAAGTAGAGCACTATTATACAGACAAGTGTTGCCATGTACACACTCACCACACAAACACATTCATGGTCGGACACGTTTCAGGACAAACAACACCGTTTGCTCTGTCGACTTTGTCATTTCAAAATAACGCACGCACACGCAGGCACTCCCTGAGATCGTTCTGTATGCGGTTGCTTTGCAGCCACATCAAACCGCTTCCTTCCTGCTCTTTCACATGCAAAGAACTGGGTGCAATAATGTGCATGTTGTGTTGGACTGGGTGCATATCCGAGTCTCTGTAGTCGGTGTTCATGTGAGGCTGCCTTGTTAATGCATTGACAAGGTCTCGGTGTGTGCACAAGCATTTGTTACATTATGTTCTCGTAAGTATGCGTCTTCACCACTTCATTGCAAGAGGCTGATAGAGACCTCAGCCACCATTTTCTTTTTCTCCTGTTATGGTGCGTCACTCACTCACTCACTCTCTCTCACACACACACACACACACACACACACACACACACACACACACACAC